CTTTACACACTTTACACACACTTTACACTTTACACACTTTACACACCTTACACACTTTACACTTTACACACTTTACACACCTTACACACCTTACACACTTTACACACACTTTACACACTTTACACACCTTAAACACTTTACACACTTTTATAAAAGTGGAGTTTTTGTGCAGGAGGCTCAGGTGTGTCTCAGTGTCTGTGTCGCCCTCTGTTGTTCACTCGGTGTTTAAACTCTTACACAGTCGGTGTTGAAAAGTCGTTCTGTTGTTTTGTTTCTGAGCCTCGTTGGCGTCGTGTTTTTGGTTTCGTGGTTCGTCTCGGCGACGAGACGGACGAGTTTTTGTGTCTGAAAGTTTCTGGACTTTGTCATTTGGTGAAACAAACCTGATCCTGTGAAACATTTAACACAAAAATCTCTGCGTTTCTTTTCCAGTTTTATTTGTTTTATTTGCTGCTATATTAAAGTCATAATTGTTATTTTAAATGTAAAATATTCACATAAATAAAGTAAATCAGGTTTTGTAGATTCATTAGTGACGATTGAAAATACAGTTGGACAGTAAAAAGTTTAAAGTCGTTGTTTGTGATTCGGTCGAATTTTCTCCAAGTTTGTTTCAAAAGAAAAAACTGTTTTTTGTGTTTCAGTCGAACCGTCGCTCGGTGAAACTCTGATGTTACAGAAATTAGTCAGAAAAAGTTAATTTTGACATAAAATATGAATTTTTACATAAGAACTTAAATGTAAAGAGGGAAAAATGTTAATATGAGTTTTTCTCTTTTTATGAAAAAATTTGGCTTCAGAGTTAAAGTCGTATTTGGGCAAATTATGAAATTTATTTGTGGATCTGAGTTTGTGTTTTTCATCATTTTCAATAATATAAATTATTTTAATTTTTAACAATCAGTCTGTTGCACCAAATGACATTTTAAAGACGTCCCAGACTTTAAATACGACAAATGTTTGGGGTTTTTTTAGGGGCAAATACAAAATGATAAAAATTACACTTAAATAAACCAGAAAATCTAAACGTTTTGCTGCCGTTTTATTTTCATTTTTGAGCTTTTGAAAAGTGTAAAACGTCACTGATCCACACGCAGAGTTTTTATTGTTGATATAGATTTTGATTTGATTATTTCAGTGTTTTTGAGTCAAAACAGGAGAAAGAGTTTGAGTTTTGCTCCAGCTTCAGTTTCATCTTCCTTTTCTTTTCTTCTTCTTTTCCTGCTCCTCCTCTTTTTCTCTCTGCAGTTTTCTCCACGTTTAGTTTTATTTCGTTTTTCAGATCTCGTCTCGTCCTCGCGTCGTCCTCAGTGTCACTTCGATTTGTCCAAACTCCACTGATCTTTGATTTTCTCCGTCGTTTCTGTTCAAGTCTCTGGTGTCGTCGGTGATGATTCTTTAAACAGCTCAGAAAATCCACTGACGTTGAAATTTGTTCTTTCCAAAGAGCCAAATTATAAAAGTTAAACTGCAGAGAAAAAATCACACACAAAAAAAATCACAAAAGAATCACAAACGAATCACAGTTCATTTTTTTTTATCCTGATGAAATTTGAAGCTGGAGTTTCAGTCGACTCTGTTTATCTGAAGACGTTTGGAACGATGAGAACTTCTCCTGTCGTTCTCGACTCTGGGAATGTGAGAAAACAATAAAACCAAAGATTCAGCAGCAGCAGCAGCAGCGACGTCTCCACAACCTGCTGCTGAAACCTTTTTAATAAGTTAGAAAAATGATAAACACAAAAGAAAAGGACGTTTAAAAAGGAAACAAAAAAGAAACGAAACTATTTTCTCAGTTTTCCCAAATTTTATCAGACAAGAAAAGAATTTGACAAGAATAAAACCAGATTCAACACAGAATCTAAACCAGAACTAAACCAGGACTAAACCAGGTCTAAACCAGAACTAAACCAGAACTAAACCAGGTCTAAACCAGGTCTAAACCAGAACTAAACCAGGTCTAAACCAGGTCTTAACCAGGACTAAACCAGGTCTAAACCAGAACTAAACCAGGACTAAACCAGAACTAAACCAGGACTAAACCAGAACTAAACCAGGACTAAACCAGAACTAAACCAGGACTAAACCAGGACTAAACCAGAACTAAACCAGGAACTAAACAGGACTAAACCAGGAACTAAAGGTAAACTAAACAGGTCTAAACTAAACCAGGACTAAACTAAACCAGGACTAAACCAGGTCTAACCAGGACTAAAACCAGGTCTAAACCAGGACTAAACCAGGACTAAACCAGGTCTAAACCAGGTCTAAACCAGGACTAAACCAGGTCTAAACCAGGTCTAAACCAGGACTAAACAGGTCTAAACCAGGTCTAAACAAGGACTAAACCAGGTCTAAACCAGGTCTAAACCAGGACTAAACCAGGACTAAACCAGGTCTAAACCAGGTCTAAACCAGGACTAAACCAGGTCTAAACCAGGACTAAACCAGGTCTAAACCAGGTCTAAACCAGGACTAAACCAGGACTAAACCGGTCTAAACCAGGTCATGAAACCGTCAGACATTTGGAAACATGTGACAGCGACTTCCTCTGGGCTCTGAGAAAATGACCCAGTTTTCTTCATCTGGACGTCACTGTGTTCTTTATTTTTTCCTTTTACAAATGGCCTGTTTAGACCTGGTTTAGACCTGGTTTAGACCTGGTTTAGACCTGGTTTAGACCTGGTTTAGTCCTGGTTTAGTCCTGGTTTAGACCTGGTTTAGTCCTGGTTTAGACCTGGTTTAGTCCTGGTTTAGACCTGGTTTAGTCCTGGTTTAGTCCTGGTTTAGTCCTGGTTTAGACCTGGTTTAGTCCTGGTTTAGTTTTTAGACCTGGTTTAGACCTGGTTTTAGTCCTGGTTTAGACCTGGTTTAGACCTGGTTTAGTCCTGGTTTAGTCCTGGTTTAGATAACTAAACAAAGTGTTTTGGTGTAAATCTGCAGCTCCTGGTTTGTTCTTTTGGTCTTTTGGTCTTGTGGACTCGGGTTCAGCTGGTTGTAGTTTTGACTGTTTTGTGTCCTCCAGGAGGCGCCGGAGCAGCGCGGGGCTCACGCTGACAGCTTCAGGCGCACGGGCGGGACTCTAGGACTCTAACCTCCTGCTTCTGTCTCCTGCTTCACTAACACCTCCAAAACTTTTCTTGCAAGACTCTTCTAAGACTCTTCTAAAGCCTCCTGTGAAACTCCTCTGAAACTCCTCTGAAACTCCTGTGAAACTCCTGTGAAACTCCTGTGAAACTCCTGTGAAACTCCTGTGAAACTCCTGTGAAACTCCTGTGAAACTCCTGTGAAACTCCTGTGAGGCTCTTGTGTTCTGCTCAAACCTCTGTCCACTAAAGACGCTGAAAACTGCAAAAAAAAAAAAAAACACTTTCACAGCTTTTAAAATGACAAGAATTGTGGATTTTAATGATGATTTCAGACGTTTTGACTCCATGTATTGACATGTTACACTTATTTCACTGTTCAACCTCTGTTTGATGAACATTTGACACGGTTTAGTTTTTTTTTATTCACAAATTCTGAAGTTTTAAAAGTTTTACATAAAAACTGACAGTTTTGATCCACAGTGTTGAGTTAAAGGTGCAGAAGTTCTCAGATTAAAGCTTCAGTAGGGAATATTCAGGTGGGACTGTGGAGCATGGCTTCCTCCTCCAGAAAAGTTACACATTGCAACTTTAATTTGAGAAGATTTGATTTAATTGAACTGGTTTCAAGATTTAAATTTCTTCAGTTCATAAAACAAATCAGCAAAACAAGATTTTACTCACAAACTGTGATCGTAAACGAATCATGACTAAAGCTGCACTGTGTAACTTTTCTAGTTTCTAGTCCGTCACCTGTTTGTTTCCATGGAGACGTCGCTGTTCTGTCTGGAATGTTCCACAGTGTGACTTTAAACAGCTCCACTTTACATTGATTCAACCACAGGAGGTTTTATGTCTCAAAAACACCTGGAGAAATCGACACTGTGACTTTGACTGTAGGAGGAGGGTCGCCTCTCCACAGATCTGACCTGGAACCTGCTCTGGTCTGGTCTGTTTAATGCCGCACTGTGGAACCTTCCAGACAAAGAGAGAACGTCTCTGTGGAGAAAAATGTTTGACTTTAAAAAAGCCCAAATGTGAATCTTGTGCTTCTGTTTTTGAGCTTCAGTTTTTCTCGGTGGGAAACGAGACAAATTTGGTTAAAAATCTCAAAATGTAAAGTTGAGAAATTTGTGATGATCTGTGTTTTTGTATCAGATCAGACAAATATTTAAAAATAAAACCTTAAAAACCTAAGACAAAGATGGAAAAGGTTAAATAAATCTGCAGTTTTCAGCAGAAATAAACCGTCTTCTTCTTCTACTGAAGGAAAAACACAAGTGTCGATGATGTTTTTGTTGTTGTTGTTGTTAAATGTTTTTGTGGTGCAGCCGTAAAAACTTTAACCACCTGACGAGAGGGTCACTGGTTCAAGTCTCAGCACCAGGGAAAATTCTTTAGGTTTTTTTTTACCATCAGCCCAAAACCTGCACAGGAAACCAAATCCTTTAAATCTGCGTCAAATGAGTCAGATTTCCTTTTTCTATAATAATTTTACATTTTAGAACATGAATAAATAATAATAATTAACAATTAATAATAATAATAAAAGTCCCAGTGTGTTTTGTGGACTTTGTTTTTCTGGACCTAATTCTCCAAAGATCACGAAAGCAATAAATATTTAAAAACTCTCAACTTTAAAATCTTTTTTTTTTTAATCAGTTTAAGTTGAATGTTTTTTTTATAAATCAGGGTTTTTCCTCGAATGTTTTTATCACGGTTTAGAACCGGGTCTTTTACTGTGAAGCTGAAACTGTATCGAACATTTTGCTTAAAAATTTGTCGCAACAATCGAGAAATAATTTAGAATTTTTGGAGAATTTCTGAATCTGTTTGTTTGTCAGTACAATTCTTACACTTTTATTTACTGTTTAAAGTCTCTGTACTCGTTGTAATGTCGAGTTTCGTTGCTGCTGCTTCAGTTTTTCCTCTTGAATGTTTCGTTTTTTCTTGAATGTTTCGTTTTTTCTTGAATGTTTCGTTTTTTCTTGAATGTTTCGTTTTTTCTTGAATGTTTCGTTTTTTCGCTCTTTTCTGATCTTTGTTTTTTGCCTTGAAGAGATTGTTCCTGCTTTTGTTTCTCCATCTAGCTCATATTTATTTACTATTTATTTTAATAGAACCATGTTTGTTTTATTTATGCATTAAATTAAGATTTATTTTTGTAGCAGAGACGCCGAGTCATATTTTTATATTTTATTTAATTTTTATTTATTTGTAGTTGTCATCACGGATCCTTTTTGTCATAGAAAAGCCAAACTGAATAAATAAAACTGATAAAAATGCACAACTTTGTCTTTTTTTTTTTTTTGTAGTAGACGTTTTAAAATCTAAAAGAATCTCTGAATCTGAGAAAATGACACAATTAATAAATAAATCTCCTAAATATTCATATCATTTTTTGCTTCTGTACATATTTTTTACAGATAAAATACAAACTGTTTTTATCTATGAGCATTTTTCAATCAGAATTTAAAGCTTCACTGTGTAACTTTCTGTTTGTGGGTTCATCACCTGTTTGTTTCCATGGAGACGTCACTGTTCTGTCTGGAATGTTCCTCAGTGTGACTTTAAACTTTACCTTTATTCAGTCACAGGAGGTTTTATGTCTCAAAAACACCTCGAAAAACAAACACTGTGAGTGAGCGGCATCGCCTCTCCACAGATCTGACCTGGAACACCGTCTGGTTTGGTCTCCATGGAGATAGAAAGGTTTAAAGCCACACTCTGGAACATTCCCTACGAAGCAACAACATCTCCATGGAGAAAAGCGTCTGATGGAGCCTCCACCAGAAAAGTTCCACAGTGCAGCTTTAAGACAATTTTATAAGATAAAGTTTTGTGTTTTAAAATTTTAGTGTTTTTATAGTTTAGTGTTTTAAGGTTTTTTTTTAGGTTTTTGTGTTTTTACAGTTTTGTGTTTTTGGCTCTGATTGAGTTTGTGATTTTGTTTGTGATTTAGTTTGTGACTGAGTTTATTATTTAATTTATGATTTAGTTTGTGACTGAGTTTGTGATTTAATTTGTGATTTAGTTTGTGACTGAGTTTGTGATTTAATTTGTGATTTAGTTTGTGATTTAGTTTGTGATTTAGTTTGTGACTGAGTTTATTATTTAATTTATGATTTAGTTTGTGACTGAGTTTGTGATTTAGTTTGTGACTGAGTTTGTGATTTAATTTGTGATTTAAGTTTGTGATTTAGTTTGTGACTGAGTTTGTGATTTAGTTTGTGATTTAATTTATGATTTAGTTTGTGACTAAGTTTGTGATTTAATTTGTGATTTAGTTTGTGATTTAGTTTGTGACTGAGTTTATTATTTAATTTATGATTTAGTTTGTGACTGAGTTTGTGATTTAGTTTGTGATTTAGTTTGTGACTGAGTTTGTGATTTAGTTTGTGATTTAATTTATGATTTAGTTTGTGACTAAGTTTGTGATTTAGTTTGTGATTTAGTTTGTGATTTAAGTTTGTGATTTAGTTTGTGACTGAGTTTGTGATTTAGTTTGTGATTTAAGTTTGTGATTTAGTTTGTGATTTAGTTTGTGATTTAGTTTGTGACTGAGTTTGTGATTTAGTTTGTGATTTAGTTTGTGATTTAGTTTGTGATTTAGTTTGTGATTTAGTTTGTGATTTAGTTTGTGATTTAAGTTTGTGATTTAGTTTGTGATTTAGTTTGTGACTGAGTTTGTGACTGAGTTTGTGATTTAGTTTGTGATTAGTTTGTGACTGAGTTTGTGATTTAGTTTGTGATTTAGTTTGTGATTTAGTTTGTGACTGAGTTTGTGATTTAGTTTGTGATTTAGTTTGTGATTTAAGTTTGTGATTTAGTTTGTGACTGAGTTTGTGACTGAGTTTGTGACTGAGTTTGTGACTGAGTTTGTGACGTTTGTGTTGTGTTGTGGTGGGTTTCAGGACGGCGAGAGGAAGATGAGGGCGATGGAGGAGAGGATGAGGGAGATCGAAACGTCGCTGCACAACGTCAAACTTCTGCTCAAGGAAAAAGTGGCTCAGCTCAAAGATCAGGTCTGGACAAAGAGTTCAACTCCGTCTGCTCCTCTCACCTTCTCACCTTCTGACCTTCTGACCTTCTGTTTGTCGTTATATTTTTATGTCTATTTGTTGTTTCATTTGGCAGAAAAGTTAAAAAACAAACAAACATTGAAATGAAGTTTTAATCTTTGACAGAAACGAGCAAGAATCAAAAGTCACGTTCAGGTAAAAAAGAGCTGAACATTAAACTCTGACCTGTCGGCTCTAAAGTTCCTGGTTTGATTCCCAGAGTTCAATTTTTATTTTTATTTTTTAAAATATTAAGTTAAATCAGTCTAAACATGCACAAGAATGACAAAATAAGCACTGGAAATGAAATGAAATACATAAAAGTGAAAGTACAACAGGTTAGACCAAATATTTCACCAAAACACACTTTATATTTAAGATTTGACTGAAGATTTTGCAAGAATTACAAGAAAACACATTTTTTTATTGAAATCATGTTTAAAATGTCAGAAAAATTTGATTTATAAATATAAATAAAAAACAGAAAATGAACGCTCGACTTCCTGTAATTTCCAACATATTTTTAAACTTTTCTTTACAAACTGATTCTGAGTTGAAAAAACATTCAATCATTTATATTTACAACAGGTTTTTTAGCACCAAATTAAATAAGTAAATTAAAGAATTATCAAAACCTCCAGTGCATAAAAAAAAAAGAACAAAACTGGGCAGAAAAAAACAAATCCAGTGTATTTTTGATGCTTTTAGTTTATTTATTGGAGCTCCTCCTCGCTGTTCGTTTTTGCAGATTTTGTTTGTGACTCGAGTCTTTTGTCTTTCAGCTTCATAAAAACGGAAAAGCCGACGTCCTGATCAAAGATCTGTACCTGGAGAACGACGAGCTCCTCAAAGCTCTGGAGGTGACGGAGCAGCGCCACAAAATCTCCGAGAAGAAAAACTACCTGCTGGAGGAAAAGATCTCCAGTCTGACCAAAATCCTGCGCGACCTGAGTCCGTCCAACCTGCCCACGCTGCAGCACCACTTCAGCTGCTCCTGACTCCACAAACACTCACACCTTTCATCAAATACCAGTGTTTTTTATTTACTTTTATCATCCCAACTCGGGCGGCACAATATCAGACACAGGTCACATTTATCACCGAACAATAAAAACACTGCTATGTTTTTATTTGTTTTCTGGAACATTTTCAGATCGTCGAATGTTCCCGTCTTTCTGTCATCGAACTGCACTGGGCAAATATTTGAGATTTGAACTTTGACAAACACCAGAGTCGCTCCCGTCAAACGCACAAACACAAAACTACACAGAAACTGTCAGTCGTTTTTGCTGCAGTTTCGTTTGTGCTGTTTTAGTTTTGGAAATATTAACGATTCTTTTAGGTCAAACTGGAAGCTTCAAATGCAACATGGAGTCAGTCGTTTGTGTTTCGTTTTTTCTGTAAAGTTCAATTTGTGTGATTTTGGTTTTTAAGATCTGAACAGTTTTATTTTGGGACAATAGCGCCCCCTAGTGCCTCTGCTCAGGTTCATTTGTCTCCAGCTCGAGATCAGGAATCAGAAAACACCAGACGATTCACAAAAACTCCAGAAGTGCAACGAGTTCAGGCTCCGGCCAATCAGAGAAGAGACAGACATTCTGTGTTGGTTATGATTCCCCAGATCCTCGAGGATTTAAACCAGAACAAAGAGAATGTTTGGTGAATTTGATCTCGGGGAAAGACGTTATTGTTCTTCTTCCTTCAGGATTTGGAGCTTTACAAACGTCACGACCAAACAGCAGCGACTGGTTCAATAAAAAAAGTCCCGTCTCCTGTCGAGTGAACGAATCCTAATGCTGCAGGTCACACGGTTTCCACCAAGTGAAACCAGCTCATGAATCAGACTGATCGTCCAGATCCTCAAAATGTGAAACAGCCTCAAAACAACAGAAAATTAAACCAATCGTTTGTGTTGTTTTGTGTGTCTGTTTTTCATTTGTGTGATTTTATTTATCAAATGATTCATGATTATTTTTGTGTAAATTATATTTTGTTCATTTGTGTTTATGTGACTTTAACAAAACTCCACAAAAACTCGTGAAGAGAAACGACCTGAGGCTGTGGAAAAGTTCAGTCAGATCAACACAAATGAACAAAATATAATTTACACAAAATAATACATTTTTTAGAAATAAACTCACACAAATAAAAAAATACAAATGTTTGATTAAATTTTCTGTTGTTTTGAGGCAGTTTCACATTTTGACTCATCGACCCAAAATAAAACTGTTCATGTTTTAAGAACCAGAATCACAAACTGAAGTTTCTGCAGCACAAACAGATGATGTGTTTGTTTTTTTGTGTAGTTTTGTTGTTTGTGTTTGACGACTTCACTGAGGCGTGTTTAAAACAGGTCACCACTCCACAGATCTGACCTGTAATTCATGGTTATATTTTATTATGTTTAAATCCAAACGTCCTGATTCACTTTGACGCTGTTGTTTTCTCCTTTTAAATGTTTTAAATCTTTTAAATGTTTTAAATTTGCACATTTTGAATCTGTGTCTTTGTTTTTTCAAACGTCTCTTTTAAACCAAACACAAGCCTTTGTGTTTGTGACGTCAAATCATGGAAGTTGAAGCTTTAATATAAAACACAACCTGAAGTGAAAAAGCCAAAGATTTTTATTTATACTGAATGTTTCAAGACTCTGTGTCTCTGTGTCTGTGTCTCTGTGTTTGTGTCTCTGTGTTTGTGTCTCTGTCTTTGTGTCTCTGTGTTTGTGTCTCTGTGTTTGTGTCTTTGTGTCTGTGTTTGTGTCTCTGTGTTTGTGTCTCTGTGTCTGTGTCTCTGTGTTTGTGTCTCTGTGTCTGTGTCTCTGTGTTTGTGTCTCTGTGTCTGTGTCTCTGTGTTTGTGTCTCTGTGTCTGTGTCTCTGTGTCTGTGTCTGTGTCTCTGTGTTTGTGTCTCTGTGTTTGTGTCTGTGTCTCTGTGTTTGTGTGTCTCTCTGTGTTTGTGTCTCTGTGTCTGTGTCTCTGTGTTTGTGTCTCTGTGTCTGTGTCTCTGTGTTTGTGTCTCTGTGTCTGTGTCTCTGTGTCTGTGTTTGTGTCTCTGTGTGTGTCTCTGTGTCTCTGTGTCTCTGTGTCTCTGTGTCTCTGTGTCTCTGTGTCTGTGTCTCTGTGTCTGTGTCTCTGTGTTTGTGTCTCTGTGAAGTTCTGATGAAAGTTTGAATGTTTTAAATTGAAGTAAACTGCTGCTGCTGCTTCTGGAAACACTGTGACGCTGATAATAAAGAAACGGCTTTAAATGTTCAAGTTTTGATGTTTTGTGTAACTGCAGCTGCGACTTTATTCAGAACAAAATTTAAAAACAACAAAGTGCAAAAGAACAGAAATAAAAACTGTAAAAACAATAAAACGACATGAATAAAAACTGAAAATAATCAAATGTCGACGTCTCAAACTGTCAAAGGCCAAAGTCTAAACAAGTGTGTTAAAGTCTAAACCTTTAGTCCTGGTTTAGTCCTGGTTTAGTCCTGGTTTAGACCTGGTTTAGTCCTGGTTTAGTCCTGGTTTAGTCCTGGTTTAGACCTGGTTTAGTCCTGGTTTAGTCCTGGTTTAGTCCTGGTTTAGTCCTGGTTTAGTCCTGGTTTAGTCCTGGTTTAGTCCTGGTTTAGTCCTGGTTTAGTCCTGGTTTAGACCTGGTTTAGTCCTTGTTCCCTCTGGTCACGTGGACCTTTGTCCTTGACCTTTGACCTCTGATGAACGTCCAGACGAATGTTCAGTGGTGAAAATCTCGACAACACACAACACACACACACACACACACACACACACACACACACACACACACACACACACACACACACACACACACACACACACACACACACACACACACACACACACACACACACACACACACACACACACACACACACACACACACACAACACACACATACAACACACACACTCGACAGCTGAGGCTAAAAACAGAACAAAACATTTCAGTCACTTCAGGCGTCCACAGCCCCACACGACCTGTTCAACACACACACACACACACACACACACACACAACACACACACAACACACACAACACACACACACAACACACAACACTGACACAGACACTGACACTGACACTGACACTGACACGTCCATGAGGTCTGTTCTATTCTGTCTGTTTCATGTCTGTTTCTTGTTGTAGATCAGAGACGACAGATTTTTGAGCAAATTTTTGACATTTTGCTCAAAGTTTTAGGAAAAATTGATTCTTTTCATTGACTGGAGCTGGAGCTGAGACTCTTTAATCAGACTTTATAATTACACCTTAATTACTTCATTATAAGAATGTAATTAATGATGAACTAATTATCAGTTTATTAAAAATTATTCAAATTGATTCCTGTGACCTCTTGGACAAAGCTCAGATTTTATATTTTTTGATTTATTTTTCTGGTTTATTTTGGTGTGTACATTTACATTTATATAGTTATGTCTCTTTTGTTTTTTTTTGTTTTTTTCACTATTTATTTAGAATTTTTTATTTTATTTTTTATTATATTTTTTTTGTTTGTTTAATTTTCTTTCTCCTGTCACATGACAAAAACTGGAGGGTTAAAATTTCAGGGTAAAATATTTCAGAGTTGTTTTTAACACAATTTTTTTTATTTTAACAATCTGAAACTTAAATGGGGGTTCGAGTTGATACCATTAAAGTTATTTATTTTAATGTTTTGTTTTGTTTTTTCTAATTATTCCAGTCCAATCCAACTTTATTTGTATAGCATGTTTTACATGTTTAAAAAATAAATAAATGCAGAATTATGTTTAATAAAGACATTCATAGAAAAATAAATAAAATAATAATAATAATAATAAAATCAATGAACAAAAACAATAAAATCAATACATAAAAGCAGTACTAAAAAATAAAATAGATAAAAACTATAAATAAATAAAAGACACAGATTATTGCTCTATGTAAATATCTGTAAAGTTCATCATTTTGGATTTTTTAAAAACAGGTTTGGGTGAATTTAATTTTTTCTTCTTCCTGCTCCTTTGACAAATGTGCTTTTCTGTTGTTTTTGTTGTGTGATTATTGTTTCTCTCTTGGCACTTTTTTGTGGTGGTGTTTGTGTTAGTTTTCTGGGTTTTTTTCTGTTTTTTTTTTTTTTTTTCTTTTTTGTTTGTTTTTTATGTTTTGTTTATACTTTTTTGTGTTTCTTTTGTTTTGTTTTTATTTTTTTTGTTTTGCTTTGTTTTTTGTTTAGTCTTTTTCCTTTTTCTTTTTTTTCTGTTTTCTGTTTTGTTTTTGTGTTTGTTGTTTTTGTTTAGTCTTTTTTCTTTTGTTTTTTTGTTTTTGTTGTTTTGTTTTTTATTCTTTTTCTTTATTTTATTTTATTTTATTTTTTCTTTTTCTTTTTCATTTTGTTTTGTGTCTTGTATTTGTCACTTCACAAGGAAGGGAAAAAAAAAAAAAAAAAAAAGGTAAAAATGTGAAGTATGTCATTCCTGAAAAGCGGATGGGCAGGACTCGGCTCTGTGTCTGTGTGAAGGTTTGTGTGCGGCTCTCGGCTCTCGGCTCTGTGCGGCTCTGTGTTCGGCTCTGTGTTCGGCTCTCTGCGGCTCTTTTCTCTGTGTTCGGTTCTGTGTTCGTCTCTTGTGTGTGTCCAACATGTCCCCGGGTCGCTCTTTCTCCGTGTTCCGTGTGGATGGAGCGAGCCCCCGGAGCCCCCGGAGCCCCCGGAGCCGTAGGAGCCGCAGGAGCCGCAGGAGCAGCCCGCGTCGCCGTTGAGTCCCGGAGCTTTGAGTTATGCTCTCGCGGAAGAAAAGCAAAAACGAAGCGTCCAAACCCGCGGAGGTGCACGGAAAGTACGTGAAGAAGGAAACGTCGCCGCTCCTCCGAAGTAAGAACCGAGTCAAACCGAGTCAAACCGAGTCGGACCGAGTTTAGCGCAGATATAGAACCGTAGATCTCACACGGACGACCGCGACCTGCTGCGGCTAACGCGTCAACAAACCCGCCATCTTGGTACAGGCGTAACGTTGCTTTAAATGAATGAAGTCAAAGATTAGTCCCGGTTCAGTCCTGGGTTAGACCTGGTTGAGACCTGTTCGGCTTTGTTTCAGACCTGGTTAAGTTCTGGTCTAGTCCTGGTTTAGATCTGTTTTAGTCCTGTTTTTAGTCTTGGTTTAGTCTTGAGATCATGGACGCCCTGTACCAAGATGGCGGCGGTATTGACGTAAACCAAGCGGCTGAACGTGAGATCTACAGTTTTATATCGACGCCAGCCTAGCATTAGCCACCGTTAGCAGCTACCAAAAGTTTATTTTCGCTCGAAATGTTGTTTGTTTCAAACACGGATCGTGCGTTTACACGCGTCCACACGGGTTCAGATGTTCTGGTGCGGGACAGAGAGTCACTGATGTGGAATAAAGACTTAATAAACAGTTTCAGAGCGCGTCGCTAAGTGAGATGCTAATGAGAGAGCTAACAAACACTGAGCGACCTGCGAAGGTGAACAGAACCAGAACCAGAACCAGACTGACCCGGACTGACCCGGACTGACCCGAGACAGACCCGGACTGACCCGAGACAGACCCGGGACTGACCCAGTTCTGTCCCTGTAGATTTATACAAAACCACTGATTTGTCCCAGTTTATACCAGAAATGTCCCAGTGTCTCTATTTTGGACCAAACTGATCTAAACCAGGACTAAACCAGGACTAAACCAGGACTATTTCAGGTCTAAACTAGAACTAAACCAGATATAAGTTCAACTTCATTCATGTTGAGATCACAGACTCAGAACTGAGTGTACAGTGTGTGTGTGTGTGTGTGTGTGTGTGTGTGTGTGTGTGTGTGTGTGTGTGTGTGTGTGTGTGTGTGTGTGTGTGTGTGTGTGTGTGTGTTGTGTGTTGTGTGTGTGTGATGTGTGTGTGTTGTGTGTGTGTGTGTTGTGTGTGTGTGTGTGTGTGTGTGTGTGTGTGTGTGTGTGTGTGTGTGTGTGTGTGTCTGTGTGTGTGTGTGTGTGTGTGTGTGTGTGTGTGTGTGTGTGTGTGTGTGTGTGTGTGTGTGTGTGTGTGTGTGTGTGTGTGTGTGTGTGTGTGTGTGTGTGTGTGTGTGTGTGTTGTGTGTGTGTGTGTGTGTGTCAAATATATGAACCATAAACCAGATCAGAACATTTGTGTTTTTGCTCTTTAGAAGCAGATTTAATTGTTTTATATTTTTCATTTCCTTTTTGTGGGACAAATAAAGTTTATTCTTTTCTACAGACACAAACAGACGATCGTTAGACTCTTAAATACAAAACAACAAAACACATAAAAATATGTTGCAACTGAATCAAATTAAAAATGAATCTGACATGTTGTCGTCTGATTAGAACAGATTATATACAAGTGTTTATAACAGTTAATAACAGTTTATTTATAAGAGTTAATTCAATTAAATATTTATTAAGAACACATAATATCTGGTTCATTGTAACTAAGTATAAAAGTAAGAATAAAAATTAATAAGAATAAGAATTAATAACAGTTTTTAACAGTTTATGTATAACAGTTAATAAGCGTTTATAACTTCTATTTTCGAAGTGTTTCTAAGAGTCTGGAGTTTGTTTGTCCCTCAGACCTGATGCCCTCCTTCATCCGTCATGGCCCCACGATGCCGCGGCGTTCTGAGGCTCCTCTCCCGGAGATGGGCCCCTCGTACGGCGTGGCCCCGAGCAGAGAGCCCGTGGTGCGGCGGACCCCGGTGCAGCGCCCCCCGCAGGAGATCGCACGCAGGTGAGGCCTTCAGAGACACAGACGTCCAACTGAGAGGAAAACTGTGACGATGTTCAGTGACTCGAGGAGGATGGAGGTGGAAGTGAAGCTCCTGCAGCGTCTGGTTTTGGCTCCTGAGACGCTCGGGACGTTTGACTTTCATTTATTTATTTACTCATTTGGAGTTAAGATAATTGTATTTTTTGTGAAGTCGTGCTCTGACCTGGTTCCTTCGACCTCAGGGAGAGTCATCGTCTGTCCGCTCCGCCGTACCTGCCCCGGAGTCTGGGGGACCTGCCCCGCGAGTACGGCGGCTCCACTCAGTCCTTCCTGAGCGACGTGGGGCCCATGTCCGAGAACGGAGACGGGTCCCGGTACTACTACCCCTCCGACCTCTACTACAACCACCAGCCCAACCACCAGCCCTCCCAGCCCCAGCCCCAACACACCCAGCCCCAACACACCCAGCCAACACACCCAGCAGCAGCAGCAGCAGCAGCAGCAGCAGCAGCAGCAGCAGCAGCAGCAGCAGCAGCAGCAGCAGCAGCAGCAGCAGAGGAGGAGGCTTCAGGAGAACTTCCAGGACGACTTCAGGTTCTGTGAGAGAAACGAGCTGAACGTCCAGAGACACACGAGGCAGCACACGCCCCCGGGACAGGGCCGACCGGCGGCAGGTGAGGCGACAGGGACACACGGGGAACATAAACGTCTCTGATCATCTGCACCTCACACTCTCACTCTCCTATTGGCTCTGAGTCTGGTGGAATCGACCAATCACAGTGAAGCGTGACCTGAAGAAGAAGCAGAAGGTTTGAGTTTCAGCGGAAGGAAATTTAGAAAACTTAGAAATACTCAGAGATCTGTGACTCACAGATTTATTCATTTATCCAGTCCTGGTCCAGTCCTGGTCCAGTCCTGGTCCAGTCCTGGTCCAGTCCTGGTCCAGTCCTGGTCCAGTCCTGGTCCAGTCCAGTCCTGGTCCAGTCCTGGTCCAGTCCTGGTCCAGTCCTGGTCCAGTCCTTGTCCAGTCCTGGTTTAGTCCTTGTTTAGTGAAGAATCGTTCTTGTGTTGGAGAATCGTTCTCGGGTTGAAGAATCGTTCTCGTGTTGAAGAATCGTTCTGGCAGTGACAGACTCCGGCTCAGTGTTTTTGTTCTGAACTTTCCGGTTTCACAAATTCTCTGAAATCCGTTCATTTCAAAGCGATGAGACAAACGTAGAGTCTGTGCGGGAGGATTCCTTTTTGGTTTCATCATTTACTCGAGTAGTTTCAAATACAGTTTTAAGGTTTAAGATAATCTACAGTAAAAACAACGAGTGAGACGATTTTCTCAAGGACGACGTTAAAACAGAAACACGTCTCTGTTCAGAGTCAAGATGTGCAACTTTTAAAAGTGATTCTAGAGTTTTTAAACTGAAGAAAATCTACAAGGATAAAATAAGGACGAACTCTGTGACTGAGGAAAATGTTTAAAGTGACTGAGAGATTTGATCTCACACACTGAGACTGGAGACTGGGTTTGGTTTTTGGAGAATGATTCTTTAAGAAATATAAAGTGGACCAGGAGAAATGGATTATTGCTTCTTTTATACATGTGTCCAGTCAAGTGGTAACGGAGGGAAAACTGTACAAACAAGTAGAAGGTGCAGGATTTTACATCATTTGTCTCTTTTCTTCTGAAAAACTTTAATATTACTTCAAAATGAAAGAAACTATTTCTATAAAATATGTCAGTCCTTCCAAGAACATTTTTATCATTTTAAATACATTTTTTTTAAATCCTGTCCCTTCATCAACAGTTCAAAGATGGAATAACACAAGATATGATGAAATACAAACATTTATTGACATGATTTTCAGGTCCTTGAAATTTGGGAAATAATGTTTGTTCCATGTTTCATTCATGGTCTGTTTAAAACGGATGGAACTTTACAACCAAAAATGGAACAGAAAAAAGGTGAACAGTTTGATAAAGTCGAGTACATATGTATCTGTTCAATACACTTTTATATCAGATGAATTCACTTGAGTTTTTGGCCTTGATGTTTACTTCTGTTTGACCAGGTTCACATTTATTGCCTGAATTTAAGATTTTCTGACACGTTCAGTCATGGAAGAAAAATATGTGACAATTTTTAAGACGATACAACCGATTCAGAACGAGTCGATCATAAATCTGAAAACAACATGAAGAAGCTGAGAGAAGTTTGACTCTGGTCTGACTCTGTCTGACTCTGGTCTGACTCTGGTCTGACTCTGGTCTGACTCTGGTCTGACTCTGGTCTGACTCTGGTCTGACTCTCTGACTCTGGTCTGACTCTGGTCTGACTCCTCTGACTCTGGTCTGACTCTGTCTGACTCTGTCTGACTCTGTCTGACTCTGGTCTGACTCTGGTCTGACTCTGTCTGACTCTGTCTGACTCTGTCTGACTCTGTCTGACTCTGGTCTGACTCTGGTCTGACTCTGTCTGACTCTGACTCTGGTCTGACTCTGTCTGACTCTGACTCTGTCTGACTCTGTCTGACTCTGTCTGACTCTGGTCTGACTCTGGTCTGACTCTGGTCTGACTCTGGTCTGACTCTGTCTGACTCTGGTCTGACTCTGTCTGACTCTGTCTGACTCTGGTCTGACTCTGGTCTGACTCTGGTCTGACTCTGGTCTGACTCTGACTCTGGTCTGACTCTGGTCTGACTCGGTCTGACTCTGGTCTGACTCTGGTCTGACTCTGGTCTGACTCTGTCTGACTCTGGTCTAACTCTGGTCTGACTCTGGTCTGACTCTGGTCTTTTCACACTTGCTCAGTTTTGCGTTTGTGTTTTTGACTTTTGCTTCTGGGATTCATCAGATTCTTGTTTTTTCCACGACTAAAACCAAACGACCTTTAAACTTTGTGCATTCCTCAAGAAATTCCTCTTTTCCCACATGAAACTTACAGACGCACAAAGAGTCTCCCACATCTGGACTAAACCAGGACTAAACCAGGTCTAGACCAGGACTAAACCAGGTCTAGACCAGAACTAAACCAGGTCTAGACCAGGACTAACAGGTCTAAACCAGAACTAAACCAGGTCTAGACCAGAACTAAACCAGGACTGAACCAGCACTTTTGGTTTATTTCTGGTTCAGTCCTGGTTTAGTCCTTGGTTTAATTCTTTGTATAAACCAAGACTGAACCGGGTCTAAACCGGGTCTAAACCGGGTCTAAACCGGGTCTAAACCGGGTCTAAATGTTAAATCTTGAATAAACCAGGATTAGAACACAAAGTTTAGATTGTGTGTGAGTTTTGTGTGTGAGTTTTGTGTGTGAGTTTTGTGTGTGAGTTTTGTGTGTGAGTTTTGTGTGTGAGTTTTGTGTGTAAATGTGTGTGTTTTTTGTTTTTGTGCGGAGGCATCGGTCGGATCCAGGCCAAGTCTCTGGGGAACCTGTCGAGTCTGACCCAGGAGGACCTGCCCCTGCCCCCGGGCTGGACCGTGGACTGGACCATCCGGGGCAGGAAGTACTACATCGACATGAACACCAACACGACTCACTGGAGCCACCCGCTGGAGCGAGAGGGACTCCCCCCGGGCTGGGAGAAGGTGGAGTCGGCCGAGTTTGGAGTTTATTATGTTCACCACAACACCAAGAGCGCCCAGTACAGACACCCGTGTGCGCCCAGGTCTGACACCCCACAACTATTTATCTATCCATCTATCCATCTATCCATCCATCCATCTATCTGTCTGTCTATCTATCTATTTATCTATCCATCTATCTATTTATCTATCTGTCTGTCTATCTATTTATCTATCCATCTATCCATCTATCCATCTATCTGTCTGTCTATCTATCTATTTATCTATCCATCTATCTGTTTATCTATCCATCTATCCATCCATCTATCTATTTATCTATCTGTCTGTCTATCTATTTATCTATCCATCTATCTATTTATCCATCTATCCATCCATCTATCTATCTGTCTATTTATCTATCTATCTAAAATATTCTCCTAAGAGTTGATATCGAAATAATAATTCTGATTTGAGGTTTAGATGGAAAACTCGATAAACGTGAAACATCCAGGAAGAAATTCATTCAAATTTAAAATCAGAATAAAACAAACACTGACTTCAGAATTTAGTTTAATTCACAATAAACATTTTCATTAAGAATAAAGTGTTTACATGGACTTTTTAAAGCAGAATTCAGTTTTATTCAGAATTAAATTGCTTTTATTCAGACTTAAAGTTCTCCTGTAAATGTGACAATCGTCACTTTTTGTTTTCAAACTTCTCACAGTCTGATGTTTCTCCTCTTCTTCTCTTCTTCTTCTTCTTCTTCTTCTCTTCTTTTCTGTTTGTGAAGTGTCCCTCGTTACGACCAGCCTCCCCCCCTCCCTCCTCCGGTCACGTACCAGCCGCTGCCCCCGGAGAGAACCCAGCCCGTCCTGGTCCCGGCGAACCCGTACCACGCGGCCGAGATCCCGGACTGGCTCCAGGTCTACGCCCGGGCCCCGGTCAAGTGAGTCCCTCCCCGTCCCAGCGCAGGAACATCTCCACAGGGTTTAGTTTGAGTTTAACCCTCGTTCCTCCACTAAAACAAACCTGCAGTTGTGTTTTTGATCCTGTTCATGAGCTCAGTTTCAGTTTAACCAGGATTGTGACGTCACAGGTACAAACTCCACACACTTGATCACAGTCAAGGTCCAGAGCTGCAGGATCATCTCCAGATCTTCAGCTGCTCTTGGTCCAGTCAAATCCACTTTATTTCATAAACAAAACCGTTTCCAAAAAGCTGCACAAAACAAATAAAACATGTTCAATAGAAAAATAAAATAAAACAATGTTTTTAACTCAAAAACAAGTCACATCAAATAAGAGAAAGAAAAACAATAAATAATAAAACATCAACATAAATATAAGAGACACAGAGGAGCAGACGACTCTCCCAGTGTTAAATCCTCAGAGGAAAAGTGCGTCTGGATCAGGACCAAATCATCAGGAGGATTTGACCTGAGAACAAAGACACACAGGCAGAACAAGCAAACTCCACACAAAGACCTGAGGCATAAAAACAAACCACTGAACCACTGAGCTGCAGCACCAACACAAATAAAATATAAAATTAATTCAAATATAAAAATATATATCTACAATTTATCAAAATCTCACAAACTCAGTTCTGTTTCACCAAATTTAGAATCAGGACGTTTTGATATTTTAAAATAAATGAATCGTGACGTTTGTTCTATTTTTGTTTCCTGAAGCCACAACTTTTCTAGTTATTAATAAGTTTTAAATTATTTAAATGTTTTTGTTTTATATCACTTTAATTTTACTAAAACACATTTAGAAAATCTGAAAGAAAATTACAGGTTTAAAGTGTCAAACATTTACTCACCCAAACATGAACAAAAGATCAAATCATAAACTCTACGAGACATAATTTTACAAACTTTAGCATAAACATATAAAAGTATTTTCAAAATTAACACAAAAGAACTACTTTGAATGTTTTACTCTTTTTATGGAAAAATAATAATAATAAATTGGTACCAGAGTTGAGAGTTAATGCTGAATTTGGGCAAATTGTCAAATTCTTTAAAAATAAATTAAGAAAAGAATAATAATAATAATAAATAATGGTCCAGTGTTTATTTGTAGATCTCAGTTTGTGTTTTTCATCACTTTCAGTAATATAGTTTATTTAAAATTTTATAAAATTATGATCATATAAAATTATGTTTTTAAGTTTTTTCAAGGGGCAAATATAAAATGATTAAATTTACTCTTAAATAAACCAGAAAATCCACACATTTTGCAGCTGTTATATTTTCATTTTGAAAACTGAAAATGACGCAGATGTGAACTTTAAGACAATTCACCGTCTCCTCCCCGTGTGTCCTCCCTCTGTCCCCCCCGTGTCCCCCCCCCCCGTGTGTCCCCCCCCCCCCCCCGTGTGCCCCCCCCCGTGCACGTGTCCCTCAGGTACGACCACATCCTGAAGTGGGAGCTGTTCCAGTTGGCTGATCTGGACACGTACCAGGGGATGTTGAAGCTCCTGTTCATGAAGGAGCTGGAGCACATCGTCAAGTCGTACGAGGGCTACAGACAAGCGCTGCTGTCCGAGGTGGACGCCCGCAAACAGAGACAACAGCAGTGGTACAGTGGCCAGACGCCCAAACAAAACTACATCCCAAACATGTAACGCCACCAGGGGGCGCCACGCATGGACCCACACCGTGCCTTTTACTCTCATTATTATTATTATTATTATTATTATTATATTAACAAGAACATGTGACGACAAAAACCAACAACAGCTACAACAAAAACACGTGAGGCGCAGTGACGGACAAACGCCACCAGGAGGCGCCGCGCTGAGATAAAACGGTGCCTTACGGAGCACAAACGTGGGATTTTTGGAAGGAAAAAAAACAGTCATTCCCAAAGTGCACAGGCACAAAGACGGACGACAGATCTGCACGAACAAACGAACGAACGACCGTGAAACTGTTGAAGAGCTCATACCGCCTCCGACCACACGGGGGCGACCAGGAGCGACAAGAGAAATGTTCACAAACACGATGTCATCACCAAACACACTTCTGCTTCCACCTGCGCACGTTTTACCAAAGTCAAAAGTGAAAAGGATTTTAAAACGTCTGAAAGGTTTGGAGATCGGCCACAACGGTTCAAATAAAATAAAAATAAAAATATAGATTGGATAAAAAAAACGTTCTCATACATAAAATCACAAAACTATTTCCACTACAAAAACAACACTACACGTTTTATTTATTTTTGTGGTTTGTAAAGTTTCAGAAATATATTTTTATTTCTTTTATGTGTCTAGTTCTCGAATCCTCCATCGAACTTTAAAAAAAAACTCTGAATATTTTTATAATTTATGTAAAAAAAGAATCGGGAAGAAATTTACAAACAGAAAAGACTTTTGTGTTTTTATTTGGAGACGTGGATTTCTCTCAGCTCTGCTCCTCTCGTCTCCGGCCTCCGACTTTTGACTTTGGTAAAACGAGGCCTGATCCAAAAATCTGAACGTTTACAAAAGTGAACACGACGTAGAAGTTTGTACAGACCTCCAAGACAGAACAGGGTAAACGTAAAAGTTTTGACAGACTTTCAAAATTTAAAAAAAGGTTTAAAAAGGCTGAACTCTACGTAGAAGTTTTGAGAGACCTCGAAAATATCAGACGCAAAGAGCTCTGAACATTTGTATGAAGACGAATGTTGCTCTAAATGTGAGGTTCTTCATGAGGTTCATCACGAGGTTCTTCATGAGGTTCTTCGTGAGGTTCTTGTGAGGTTCTTCCTGAGGTTCTTTTTGAGGTTCCTCGTGAGGTTCTTCGTGAAATTCTTCGTGAGGTTCTTCATGAGGTTCTTCTTCAGATTCTTCCTGAGGTTCTTTGTGAGGTTCTTGTGGTGCCACTGACAGAGATCTAAACTCTTCAGATCTAAACTCTTCAGATCTAAACTCTTCAGATCTAAACTCTTCAGATCTAAACTCTTCAGACTCTACAGATCCTAAAGTTGGACATAAAACCACCGGTGCCTTTTGTGAGTGACTCTGACCGTCGCGTCCTGAAGCCAAAACTCGCCTGTTCACTTCGGCAGCTTCAGAAAACAACTTAAAGACGCAGTGTGGAACTTTCCTCTCGCTTCTTCTGTGGAGATGTTACGTGAAGCTTTTCTACACAGACGGGCGTTAAAGAAGAGTTTATTCTGATTTCCACGATGTTCTAACGTTGTTCTCTCATCGACAAAGTGAGACCGAAGTGAAGCCGCCTCCGTCGAACAAACGAACAAACGAACAAAGACACAAAAACTACGTCCATGGTTTGTGTCGCTTTAGTTTTGGAGACATTAACGATTCTTTTAAAGGTCAAACTGGAGTCATGAGCCTCGAGGAAACTTCAAACTGAAGTAAAACGACACAAAATGGATTCAGTCGTTTGTGTTTCGTTTGTGCTGCAAAAAGTTCAGTTTGTGTGATTCTGGTTTTTAAAATCTGAAGTTTTATTTTGGTCGATGAGTCAAAATGTGAAAGAGCCTCAGAAGAGCAGAAAATTAAACAAACTTTTGTGTTTGATTTGTGTCGTTTTGTGAGAGAAACGACCTGAGTCTGTGGAAAAGTTTGTGTTTTTCTATCAAATCTGAACCAAATCCAGTTCCTGCGACTGATCCGGACTTTTCCACAGACTCAGCGCTCGCTCAGGTGTGTTTGTTTTGTTGACGTCGGGCGGAACGAGAAGCTTTGGACGGGCAGATAATATTTGGACGACTTTCAACAAGTGTGAGTGTTTTTTTTATTTCCGCATCGATCAGTGAGATGCAAGAACGTGAGGAACGTCTGGGACTTTGACTCCTGTCCAGACTTCTGAAGGACCAGAGTGTGAAGGTCCAGACCACAGAGTCCAGACCACAGAGTCCAGACCACAGAGTCCAGACCACAGAGTCCAGACCACAGAGTCCAGACCACAGAGTCCAGAGTCCAGACCACAGAGTCCAGACGGTGCAGAGTCGACGGTTGGACGTCCGGGGTTCAGTTCTTCGCCGTTTGAGTCTCAGGTTTTGTGTTTCTGTTCTTGTCGTAGTTCAGGTTTTATTCGACCGTTGATGATTTTCATTTTTACGTCTGATGAAAACCTGATGCTCGACGTTTTACCAAAACTTTTATCAGAACATGATTTCTGCGTCCTGTCGGTGTTTTAAAAAACCCAACAGAGAATCACACTTGTTTATTCAGAGAGGAAGTGTTTCTGTGACGGAGCGTTTGTCGTTGGCGTTTGTCGTTGGCGTTTGTCGTTGGCGTTTGTCGTTGGCGTTTGTCGTTGGCGTTTGTCGTTGGTTTTTGAACGTGACAATGTGGAAATCACTAAACCCAACGCTGGCGACTCTCATCGTTTCTCTTCAATAGTTTTGTGGAGTTTTGCTTCAGCTCAGAGGAAAAATCACACACAAAACAACACAAAACAAACACAAAACAACACAAAGGTTTGGTTTCATTTTCTCTGTTTTGAGGCTGTTTCACGTTTTGATTCATCGACACAAAATAAAACTGTTCAGATGTGAAGAACCAAACTGAACTTTTACAAATCTGTGTCGTTCGTTCATTTGTTTTTCAATATAAAACCAAAAATAAGAAAATTAAAAAACAACAATTTTCTTCATTATTTGTCTCCAAAACCAAAATAAAAAAAAACAGATAAAGATTCGTTTTTTCAGTTTTCGATTTTGTGTTTAAATGAAAAAAAAACAGATAACGACTGTTTCCTGTTTTCGTGACTTCAGTGACTGTGATGTTGGACTGGACCAGACCAGGACCAGACCAGGACCAGACCAGGACCAGACCAGGACCAGACCAGGACCAGACCAGGACTCTGAGCTTTGAGTCTCTGAGGTCCGAGCCTCAGCTTCGAGCTCTGGTCCTGTCGTGAGCTCTGAGCCTGCGGCTTGGTCCAGGTCTGGTCTCGGACCTGGATCAGTCCTGGATCAGTCCTGGTTCAGTCCTGGTTCAGTCCTGGTTCAGTCCTGGTTCAGTCCTGGTTCAGTCCGGCATCTCAGTCACTGAAGTCACATAAACAGGAAACAGCCTTTATCCATTTTTTCCATTTTTCATTTAAATTTTTTTTTTCGTTTTCTTTTATTTTTGGTTTTATATTCAAAAACAAATGATACACGGATTTTTACAGCACAAACGATCGACAGATTTTACGTGTGTTTGTGTTTGATGTGACGTGTTAAACTCCTCCATGCAGGTTTGAGTCATCTAGTGATCTCTCCTGAACCTCTTTACGGTTTTTCCCACACGACATTTCTCCATAAAAACACAAAAACACGACACAAAACTGAACACAACAACTGGACCAACCTGAAGTGACCTGCAGCAGTTTCACCAGAGCTCTGAAGGGGGAGCGACTCAGCGTGGAGAGAGAGAGAGAGAGAGAGAGACTTGTTTTTGGAGAAAAAAGCCTTTTCACCCCCAAAAAACCAACAACATCTCCATGGAAACGAGCACCACCACCAGGAAAGTGACACAGTGCAGCTTTAAAACTGTAAATAAAGTGTTTTTTAAATTGTTTTTTTATGACAATCCACCAAAAACCCACGGCAGATTTAAGTTTGTGATTTATTTAAAAGGACTTTGTTGGTTCATGAGCTTCAGTGGAATCAAAGAAACATAAGCTACGACTCAAACGTTTCCTGAAGGAGATTTTGGCTCAAAACGGGACGAATTCTGACGATTTCAAAATATGAATTCATGAAGATTTCCTCACTTAAAGCCTCGTTTGAACGTCCAGTTTGACAAGAATCATTTTTCTTTGGACAAAATTAAGACAAATGAAAAATAAAACGCATCATTAGAATCATTTTGAGGAACTTTTACATAAACTGATCTTTAAATTCTTCTTTGTATTTGCAGCTGCTTCTGTTTTTATAACTTTTAAACTCCTGTTTTTCTGATCCAGATGTGATTCTAAAATCTTAATTTCTTTGCAAACGTCGTTTTCTCGTCACAATCAAAAGTTGGAGTCGTGTTTTGTTTCATTCACATGTTTGACACGAGGAACAAAACCTCCAGACGACGACACGATTTTACTGTTTAAAAATGTGTGAATTTTTAACTACAAAACAAAACATGTCGGTCATTTATTAGATTTTATTCAAAATTTCTGTAAAAAAACAAACTAACAAAAACAACAAATCATTTTTCAGTTTTCCCAGAGTAAAATTCTCCGTCTGATTTTGTGTTTATTTTTATTCAAGTTCGTCTCATTTCCCTCAAATTCTGCTCAAAAACGCCGTAAAAGTCGATGTTTGTTCTGACACTTTTTAGTCGCTGTTCAGACTCCGGCTCCGAGTTTCCAGCGTCGACTTTTTCTCTTTTTCTGGACCTCGACTCCTCCCACGAACCACACGCCAACTCACGAAAACAGACGTGAAAGATGCACAAGCTCTGGTAACGCTTTATAATAACTACACCTTATTTAGCCTTAATAAAGCATGAACAAAGGCTTAACTAATAATGAACAAAGACTTAATTCATATTGATTCACACTTAGTAACTACTTAATTACTGCCTTAATTAGCACTTGCACTTCATTTGCCTGTGCTGTAAATAGTTACTCATAATTATTTCATACTTAATTACTCATGAACTATGCATTTGAACATTTATTAATCATTAATAAACTATGAGAGAATGATTTACTAATAACACAAAGATCATTCAGCAGCTGTTCTGTTAGTTACGTCTTTTTTAGAGCTTTTCTAACGTGAAGACAAATTATGCTTTATTAAACATTTACTAAGCGTGAATCATTGTTAATTAAATCTTTGTTCATTATTAGTTAAGTCTTTGTTCATGCTTTATTAAGGCTAAATAAGGTGTAGTTATTATAAAGTGTTACTGAAGATATTTCTTTAATTGTACTTTGATTTTTAAAATGTGTTTTTTTAACTGGACAAAAACACGTCGGTCGTTTATTTATTTGATTTTATTCTAAATTTCTGTGAAAAAAACAAACAAAAAAACAAAACAATAATAATAATATTTTTCAGTCAGTGGAAACACCAAACTGTGACGTGTCTCGGGTTAAAGATGTTTTAGATTTTGTTGTGAGGAGAAAGTAACAGATTACATTTACTCCCGTTTCTGTGTCGAGGAGAAAACTCCGTTTGTCGACTGGACAAAAGTTCATTTGGTTGAAAACGTTTCTCAGTTCGTCCAAACTGCTGCTTCACTTCTGTCAGACGCCGGTGACACGTCCTCCTGAGCAGCGTCGGGAAGATTACTTTTCAAATGTAATCCCCTACAGATTACAGATTACACTCACCAAAATGTAGTTTGTAACAGAATCCATTAAATTACTTAAAGTGAGTAATGTAATCTGATTACTTTGGATTACTTGATTTGTTGTAGAGAAACAAAGACGAGGAAATCTTCACATAAGAAGTTTTGTCTGATAAAAGAAAATAAAAAGTCCAAACTTTACTGAACCAAATTAAAAATATTATTGATAAAAGACGAAGAAACACGTCCACACAGCAGGATTTAGTCCTGGTTTAGTCCTGGTTTAGTCCTGGTTTAGTCCTGGTTTAGACCTGATTTAAACCTGGTTTAGTCCTGGTTTAGTCCTGGTTTAGTCCTGGTTTAGTCCTGATTTAAACCTGGTTTAGTCCTGGTTTAGTCCTGGTTTAGTCCTGGTTTAGACCTGATTTAAACCTGGTTTAGTCCTGGTTTTAGTTCTGGTTTAGACCTGGTTTTAGTCCTGGTTTAGTCCAAAATGTGAAAACAGTAAAATCCCTCTGTTTAATCCATTTATTTCAACAAAGTAACTGTAATCCAATTACCACTCACTGAAACAGTAACTGTAACTGAATACAGTTACTCATCATTTGTACTCTGATTACTCTGGTACATGTAATCTGTTACTCTGACACTCACATCTGTCTGCAGGAGTCGACTGTTGAGTTCCTCCTGTCGTCTTCAACCAAACAAACTTCTTCAGTCGACAAACGGATTTTCTCCTCGTGGATTCGACCTGAACGACGACGGAGGGAATCCACCCCTTTTATCAGCAATTTGTCTTTTAAAAAAAAATCCACTCGTAGTTTCGTAGTCGTCTTTTTCACCTTGTTCACGGCGCGTGGACCTGGCCTCCTCCTCCTCCTCCGCCGCCGCCGCCGCCGCCGTCGTCAGTCGTTCTAAGAAAATATTGTCCTAAAAAAACGCTGCCAAAACGTCATAAGTCCTTGTGTTCCGGGACGTTTGATAAAAAATGGAATCGTCGCGGCTCCGACAGTCGCGCGTCAGAGTCGGAGCCGCGACGTGTTGTAAATGTGTTTGAGTAAATCTTCGTTATCACACGTCTCAAAGCTCCAGACGCTCTGCTCCACCTCGTGATGTCATGAAGTGGGAGTTTTCACGTTCACGCTCGATCAAGTTTGTTCAGTCGTGATTTTTGAATTCCAACTTCCATGATTCTAGTGAAGGTTTGTGGAGTTTAAAAACACAAAAACCACACGATGACATCACGAGGTGGAACACAGTGTTTTTCTTCTGTATTTGAGAGAAAAGCTGGTGTTAAATCTGCAGGTTTTTGAGTTCAACATGTGAATGAAACAAAACACGGCTCCAGTGTTTGTGCGACCGGGAAACATCAGAACAGAAAATATCATAATTAAAAAAAAAAAAAAAGTTTAAAATTAAATATTCAAACTTTGGTTGAGTTTTAAACAAAGTGAAACCTGCTCGTCCTGGTTCAGACCCTCAGATTCTCCTTCAGGTTCGTCCTCGTTCCTCGTGAGACACTAGTTTTGCCAAAAAGTGCAAATGAGTTTTTCTTTTTCTTTCTCGTGTGTTTTTCATGTTTCCTTCGTGAGTTTGTGTCGTGGAGTGAACCTGAACTTCTGCCTCAAAACACAAAAACACAAAAACTCAAAACACAAAACTCTTTTCAGACGTTTCTTTAATCATCTGAGTTTTATGGTTCCGAACATGAAGGCGACACCAACTTCTGGTTTGTTTAAATCGACGTGTTACACAAAATGTACTTGTTTTTTTTGGTTTTTTTTGAGTTTTTGCGTTGACGTCGGCTCCTCTCGAGCGCCGCACTTTTCAAACTCAGCGAGATTTTTTGTTTTCTGAATTGGTTTTGGATCAATATTGTGATTTAAAAAGTCACAATTAGAACAAAATGCTCCTCACACAAACACATGTTCACTTTAACACCACAAGTGTAAAAAAAAATACAAACTCTTTAATTCAATAATTTTAACATCAAATTAAACCTTGACGAGTTCTGTGCCAAAATATTTAAAAACATGAAAGATGTGGGAGATATTTTTTAAATTATACTTTGATTTTTTAAAATGTGTGAATTTTTAACTGTTTGGTTTTATTCAAAATTTCTGTAAAAAAAACAAAACAAGAGTAAAATTCACTTTCTATTTATTTTTGGTTAAGTTTGTGTCATTTCCCTCAAATTCTGCAGCGTAAAAGTTTGTGTTTGTGTCGTTATGAACAAATTATTACAGTTTTTTTTTTTTGTGGATTCTGAGCCGTGAAAAAAAACCAAACACAACTAAAGTGTGAAAGAAAAAACAGAAGTTTAAGTTCACTTCACTCGTTGTAACGACTTTGTACAGAAATAAATGGTGTTGTGGCATAAAAACCACGAGACACTTTGAATAAACGACTCTTTTTGTTTTGTTCATTTGGTCCAATTTTTATTTGTTTATTTTTATTTTCTTAGTTCCTCAGAAGTTCACAGTGAAGTTTCTGTTTTCTGGATCCGTCGTGTTTCCTGCTCACAGGAAAAAAAAAAGAAGAGAATCACCAATGAAAACACCAAACTGTGACGTGTCTCGGGTTAAAGTTTGAGATTTTGTTATGAAGAGTTTTTTCGAGGAAACGTCTGCGTCTGAGACACGAGAGCAGAAAGTAACAGATTACATTTACTCACGTTTCTGTAATCGAGTCGTTTTTATTTAGAGTAATTTATCATTTTTTTTACTTCATTACATTGGAACTCGCCCTCGTTACTCAGTAAAATCAGATTGAGACAAAAAAAACTAAACGCAAAAATAAATCAAAAATCTGCCATAAATGAAAGTTTTTTTAAAAAAAAGCAACGACGTTTTCTCAGTAGAACGAAGAAGCGTCACTGAACAGAAACTCAGACGAAAAATGTTTAAGAGGCAAAGTGAAAATAAAACATGATCCTCGAGGTTCTGATGGAAACATTTATACTGAACAAATGAACGATTCAATATTTGAATATTTGTGATTTCAACATAAACCAAGAATTCATGAACCTGGAGTTTGTGTTCAGGACGCAACAGTCGGGTTAAAAAAAGAAGGAACAAATTGGCGTCGATGACGTGTTATTGTTTTATCCAAGATTCTTTGAACACAACAAACACTTCACCTGATTTTTTTAAATGTATTTTTTAAATATCTCAGCGCAGGGAAACATTGTGCCGTCAAATGTTGTGTTCAGTGATTTTGTTTATTTAATGACGTCATTTTTACTCTAAACCTCATCAGATTTCAGCTCAAAATGTTCCCAAGCAGAGAAAATATTTTTCTTGCCGTTTACATCGCAAAAAAAAAAAAAAAAAAAGAATCTCAAATAGAACGAACCAAACTCGCAATAACCAAAATCACTAAATGTTTTGGGTGAATCTGTTGAGTTTTTTTGGTCTTTATGTTTCAAATCTCGCAACAAATCCACAAAACATTTAATCACTGAATCAGTCACGAGGTTCAAACGGTTCACGAGGCGTCGAACGTCACCGAAACAAACCTCGATACGTTTCAACGAACACGTCCTGGATTTACTCACAAACGCTTCAAAACCTCCACACGGACGACACAGCTCCACCTCCTGGAGACTTCAGCAGAGTTTCCTGTAGTTTAGGATTTTCATGCAGAGTTCAGTTTTGTGAAACTAAAAACATTTTCTGCGTTTCCTTTCATCACTGAACAGAACCAGACGACTTCAGTCAAAGAACTTTTATTTCACTGGACTTTCATTTACAAACTTTTACAAAAAATACAAAACTCTTATAAAACTGAAGCAGGAGCAAACTCTTATTCTGAAACACTGCAGGCTTTTATTGTGAAGAGCCACTGTAGGTTCTTCTTCCTGTGTCCTGCTCGTTCCTCTGCACTTTCAAGATTATTTTTATTTTGATTCTAATAAACTTTGTGTCAGTAAATTTGCCGCTTTAGTGTTTTGATGTTTTCAGTGTTTTATCTTTATGTTATATTTAGGTTTTTCTGACGCCACAAAACGGAACCAAAAAAAAAAAAAAAAAAAGTGCAACTTAAATACGAAGCTCCACAGCGCCACACACTGGTCACCTGGAGTCCTGCTTCAGACCTGGTTCAGTCCCGGTTCAGTCCCGGTTCAGACCTGGTTCAGTCCCGGTTCAGTCCCGGTTGTTGTAGTTTCCAGTCTGACCCGTCGGTGGCGCTGTGGAACTTTCTCCCTTTAATCTCAGGATGAACTTTCAAATGAACCAATCAGAGCCGCCGTAGCTTCGGCATCGGTCTCCAGGCCCCGTCCCCCGCGCTCTGATTGGCCTTCTCTTTGTCCGCCACGCTGCTATTGGACAGTTTCACCAGCGGGGGCGGGGCTAAGGCGGGACCCGGGCTCTGATTGTTTAAAAACACGATCTCGTTCAGCAGCGACGCCAGCGAGGCCTCCGATTGGCCGGGACACGAGGAGGAGGAGGGACCGGGCGGGGCCGAGGTGAGCTCTGATTGGTGCGTTGAACGGGAGGAGCGCTGTGATTGGACGGGAGCAGCGGGAGGACGACAAGATGGAGGATCTGTAGTTTTTATTTCCTTTTCAGAAAACAGTTTTTTGGCGACAGGACGAGCCAGACGCGTTAATTTGGTTTTATATTTAATGGGAGAAGAGGCTGATGGGAGTTGTAGTTCTGTGGGAGCAGGGGCTGATGGGAGTTGTAGTTCTGTGGGAGCAGGGGCTGATGGGAGTTGTAGTTCTGTGGGAGTTGTCGTCTTCGGAGGTCCGGCTGCGGGTGGAGGAGGGTCTTTAGAGGGCGGAGGCAGTGTGGGAGGAGTCTGTGTGACCGTGGGTGTGGCCGAGGCGGCAGCGGGGGCTGATGGGAGCTGTAGTTTTGCAGGGGGGAGGGGGGATGTCGTCTGAGGAGAAACCAGGTGCACCAGGTTCAACTTTCCACCTGAAAAACACAAGAGGAGAGACCTGACACACACGACACCTGACACACACGACACCTGACACACACGACACCTGACACACACGAGGACGACACCTGACACACACGACACCTGACACACACGACACCTGACACACGACACCTGACACACACATGACACACACGACACACACGACACCTGACACACACGACACCTGACACACACGGACACCTGACACACATGACACCTGACACACACGAGGACGACACACACTGACACACACGACACCTGACACACTGACACACACGACACCTGACACACACGACACACACGACACCACGACACCTGACACACACGACACCTGACACACACGACACGACACACCTGACACACACGACACCTGACACACACGACACCTGACACACACGACACCTGACACACACACGACACCTGACACACACGACACCTGACACACGACACACACGACACCTGACACACACGACACCTGACACACATGACACACATGACACACACGACACGACACACCTGACACACACGACACCTGACACACTGACACACGACACCTGACACACACGCACCTGACACACACGACACCTGACACACACGACACACCTGACACACACGACACCTGACACACACGACACCTGACACACACGACACCTGACACACATGACACACACTGACACACACGACACCTGACACTGACACACGACACCACGACGACACCTGACACACACGACGACACTGACACACACGACACCTGACACACACGACACCTGACACACACGACACCTGACACACACGACACCTGACACACACGACACCTGACACACTGACACGACACCGACACCTGACACACACGACACCTGACACACACGACACCTGACACACACGACACCTGACACACACAGTACCTGACACACACGACACCTGACACACACGACACCTGACACACACGAGACACTGACACACACGAGGACACCTGACACACACGACACGACACCTGACACACACGAGACACCTGACACACACACACCTGACACACACGACACCTGACACACACACTGACACACTGACACCTGACACACACGAGACACACCTGACACACACGACACCTGACACACACGACACCTGACACACTACAGTACCTGACACACACGACACCTGACACACACGACACCTGACACACACGACACCTGACACACACGACACCTGACACACACACGACCTGACACACACGACACCTGACACACACGACACCTGACACACACGACACCTGACACACACTGACGACTGACACACACGACACCTGACACACACGACACACGAGGACACACTGACACACACGACACTGACACACAGGACAACACCTGACACACACGACACCTGACACACACGACGACACACACGACGACACTGACACACAGACGGACCTGACACACACACCTGACACACACGACACCTGACACACACGAGGACGACACCTGACACACACGACGACACACACGGACACGAGACGATACCTGACACACACGACACCTGACACACACGAGGACGACACCTGACACACACGAACGACGACACACACGAGAGACACCTGACACACACGGCGAGGGGGCCGGGTTTAGCTGGGCGAGGGGGCGGGGTTACCTGGGGCAGAGACGGGGAGCGGGGAGCTGCAGGTGAACAGGTCGCCCGGTGAGAGGCGGGGCCCAGAGGACAGCTGCTGATTGGCCGAGAGGTTCATGGACACGGTCGCCACGGCTGCGGACAGGAAGTGCATGGTTAGGCTGTGATTCCCCGATGTGACCGTGTCACACACACACACACACACACACACACACACAGTCTCATCTATACTCAGGTGGTTTACCAACACATGTTGTGTTGTTGTGTTGTTGTGTTGTTGTGATGTTGTGTTGTTGTTGTGTTGTTGTGTTGTTGTGTGTTGTTGTGTTGTTGTTGTTGTGTTGTTGTGTGTTGTTGTGTTGTTGTGTTGTTGTGTGTTGTTGTTGTTGTTGTGGTTGTGTTGTGTTGTTGTGTTGTTGTGATGTTGTGTTGTGTGTTGTGTTTGTGTGATGTGTGATGTTGTGTGTTGTTGTGTTGTTGTGTTGTGTGTGTTGTGTTGTTGTGTTGTTGTGTTGTGTTGTGTGATGTGTGTGTTTGTGTTGTTGTGTTGTTGTTGTGTTGTTGTGTTGTTGTGTTGTTGTTGTTGTGTTGTTGTGATGTTGTGTTGTTGTGTTGTTGTGATGTTGTGTTGTTGTGTTGTTGTGATGTTGTGATGTTGTGTTGTTGTGTTGTGTGTGTGTTGTGTTGTTGTGATGTTGTGTGTTGTGTGTGTGTGTGTGTTGTTGTTGTTGTGTTGTTGTGTTGTTGTTGTTGTTGTGTTTGTGTGTGTGTGTGTTGTGTTGTTGTTGTGTTGTTGTGATGTTGTGTTGTTGTGTTGTTGTGTGTTGTGTGTGTTGTTGTGTGTTGTTGTGTGTATGTTGTGTTGTTGTGTGTTGTTGTGTTGTGATGTTGTGTTGTTGTTGTGTTGTTGTGTGTGTATGTTGTGTTGTTGTTGTGTTGTTGTGATGTTGTGTTGTTGTGTGTTGTTGTGTTGTTGTTGTTGTGTTGTTGTGTTGTTGTGTGTTGTTGTGTGTGTTGTGATGTTGTGTTGTTGTTGTGTGTTGTGTTGTTGTGTGTTGTTGTTTGTTGTGGTGTTGTGTTGTGTGTGTTGTGTTGTTGTTGTTGTTGTTGTTGTGTTGTTGTGTGTTGTGTTGTTGTGTTGTTGTGTTGTTGTGTTGTTGTGTGTTGTGTTGTTGTGTTGTGTTGTGTGTTGTGTGTTGTGTGATGTTGTGTTGTTGTTGTTGTTGTTGTTGTTGTGTTGTTGTGTTGTTGTGTTGTTGTGATGTTGTGTGTTGTGTGTTGTGTTGTTGTGTGTGTGTGTTGTTGTGTGTTGTGTGTGTTGTGTGTGTTGTGTGTTGTTGTTGTGATGTTGTGTTGTTGTGATGTTGTGTTGTTGTGTGTTGTGATGTTGTGTTGTTGTGTTGTGTGTGTTGTGATGTTGTGTTGTTGTGATGTTGTGTTGTTGTGATGTTGTGTTGTTGTGATGTTGTTGTGATGTTGTGTTGTTGTGTGTGTGTGTGTGTGTTGTGTTGTTGTGATGTTGTGTGTTGTGTGTTGTGTGATGTTGTGTTGTTGTGTGTTGTGTGTTGTGATGTTGTGTTGTTGTTGTGTGTGTTGTGTGTTGTGTGTTGTGATGTTGTGTGTTGTGATGTTGTGTTGTTGTTGTTGTGATGTTGTGTTGTTGTGATGTTGTGATGTTGTGTGTTGTGATGTTGTGTTGTTGTGTTGTTGTGATGTTGTGATGTTGTGTTGTTGTGATGTGTTGTGTTGTTGTGTTGTTGTGATGTTGTGTGTTGTGTTGTTGTGTGT